GGACACCTAGCACGGGGACGGCGACGTCTAGACTGAGTCGGAGGCTAAGGTCCCAGCTCCTTTCCCGTCGTTTGTGTGAGGCTGGAGGGGACGGGGCGGGCGGGGGAAGGCGCCGGATGCCTCGAGGGGGGCGTCCCCTCCCGACTGGCGGCCGGCCTGGGCGGCGCCCGGAGCCGGGAGGAGGCCTCGGGTACGCGGGAGGGGCGCTCTTGGGCGCGCTGGCCGAACTCATGGGCCCTCTCGGCGCGGGGACGAATGCGGGCCGGTCGGTCGAGTCTCTCTTGCCGGGGGCTGGAGCGCGCAGCCGGTGCCGGCCGACGGGGCCTCGCGCGCTTCTGAGGCGGGGCGGGGCAGAGGGAACCCAGCTCCGTCCGAGTCGGCGCTGGGCTGTCCCCGCAGAGTGAGTCCCGCTCGGCAGACGGGTTGGACGGTAGCGAGCAGCGAGGACACCTCCCTCGATTGGACGAGCCGGGCCTCGGGTCCGAGGTGTCCACGCCTGGCGTCGGCCGCGCCTCCGCACCCCCGTCTGGTCGCGCGCCTTCCCGGTTCCCGGCGCCGCCACCGCGTCTGAACCTGCGTGCCGCCCACTCCCTCTCTGCAGTCCGCACAGCGGACAGGGTGGTCTCTCCGAAAGCCATCTCTCACTGTCGCTGTTCTCCTAACACCCTTCAGGGACTCCCCAGCTGCCTGTGTAACGTTACCCGTGAGCAGAGCTCACAGCCTCCTGCCCCCGCTCTCTGCTCCGGCCGCCGGACCTGTTCGAGGTTCTCTAGATGAACCGAGCTCTGTTTTCTCCGGTTCTCACGAGGCCAACTCCTTCTCAACAGATATGGGGCTTTCTTGGGGAAATCTTCCCAGAAGAAAACCGGATTTAGTGCCTCTCCTTTCTGCTCCCATGGGACCCTAAGCTGTCCTGTCGTAGCTCTTAACACGCTGTCCCCTGTCACTGACACTGAGAGTGTGTTACGATTCACTGCAAAAGCGTAAGCTTCACAGGAGCTGTGACGTACCCGATTGTAGCTGAAGCGTGTGGTACATAGTACAAGTTTAATAAACATTGAGTAAATGAAGGAATAAATGAGTGAATGACAACGGGGACCTTAACTGGAAGCAGTAGTAGCAAAAGTGGGAAAGGAGACACCTTTATTTAGGGAAATGAGCAGTCCGTCGTGACTGACAGTTTGTGGGAGCAAGGGACAGAGGTCCAGAAGGATGCTTACTCAGATGGTTAGCCTGATTGATGAGGTGGTGAACGAGCATGAGAAAGGAGATGGAGTTTGAGGAAGGAAGGATGAGGAGCTGAGTGTGGGCCATACTGAACTTGAGGAGCCTGTGGGATACACCTAAAGCTCGGGGGAAAGATGAGGGCTGGAATTGAGAGTTGATATGTAGACTCAGAGAAAGTGCATAGAGACGAGGAACGGATTAAGTCCAGAATCCAGGAGAACAGCAAATGTGGTCACTAGGAAGAAGTTGCCCATTAAGGCAACAGAGAAGTGGTCGTAGTCTTGATTAGAATCTGGGGCTTTCCAGGAAGCCTTAGGGCATAGAGTTTCAAGAAGCTGTAATTAGCCTCCTCGGCACTGTGACAGTCACCAAAACTGCCCATTTGACAGTTATTGGTGGGAGTTGAATGATGTACTGGGAATGGGAAACATTCAATTGCAGTGAGTAGGTAGGTGGCCGGGGTGAGGTGAAGACAGCTAATGCGATTCACACTTCCATATACGATTAGGGCCATGCAGCAGATGTGGAGAGAAGTGAGCTGGTGGACCAGATCATACAAACCACTGAAGTAGCAGGAGAGGTGGCTGAGGGAGGAGGAGGGTCAAGGTTAATTTCTAGGCTTCTGGCTTGTTCATTTGGGTTTATATGGTGGGACCATGCGTGGAATAGGGAACACCAGAGAAGGGCCTGGATTGGGGAAGGGGGTTCGGTATCAGAAATCATGAGCTCTTTTCTGCATGCTTTAGATTTTGAGTTGCATTTGAGGTATCCAAATGGAGATGCCCTGGGAGCAGGGGAATGAATGGACCAGATCCAGGCAGATATGGAGGTAACTACTTCCAAGTGTGCATAAGATCTCCATGGAGGGTATATGGAGCAAAGACGGGGGCATCTGGCCAGAGCCCTGAAAACAGCAGCATGCAGTGGCACCAAGAGTGCGGGAGTGGCGATGGGTGCAAGAAGAGGCAGTGGGTGGAGAACCACACCGATTACCATCTGGGGCACTGACTGAGATTTCAGCCTGGGGGGTCCATGAACTGGCTAAGCTTCTTGATCTGAAAGACATGGGCCTGTGGAAAAGGGATGCCTTGGGCCTGGCCCAACACATTCGCTGAGAGGCTAGCCATGTGGGCCAGGCTGTTCTGTAAGCCAAGGTGGTGGCTTTGAACTTGAGAAACTGTTTCATTCTGAAAGAGATTAGCAGTCCTTTAAAGAGAGCTGTTCAAGGTATGAGTCTTAATATTGAGTTTTTAAAAAGGGAAAAGCATTTTAAGAATAAAATACAGAATGCTTCCTTTATTCAGGTCATGTTTTTGTCCCTTTTTGTGTGTGTGTGTGTGTGTGACTGGCCGCACCACGCTCAGTGAGCGCATCACACCGGCCATCCCTATATAGGATCCAAACTCGCGGTGCAGCGCCGCACTCTCCCAAGTGCGCCACAGGCTCGGCCCATTCAGGTCATGTTTTATAGAACCATGTTATTTCAGTGGAATTTTTGTTTTGCCCTCAGAACCCAAAAGCATAAAATCAAACGCCTACATATTTGTTGGAACACCTGACTTTCAAAGAAATTTGACAAAGCAAACTTGATATTTCAGGATACTTTATATTTCAATAGTCGTTGCTTAAAATCACTAGCACAAGCAAATCCCTAGATTCCAATTTTCATAGACTTAATCACAACATTTTTTTAAGTTAGTGAAGGTGTTGGAAGGAGTAAGGAAGAATTTTATTTTCATTTAGTTCTGCCACACATATTCTGATACCATGTGTTTGTGCCGAACCAGGACCCGATAAAGCATCTTGAGTGGGGATTGTTTGATCTGGTGGCCCTTCCTCTCTCTTCCTTTGCCTGATTTTATTTCCTTTTCTAGATTATACAACTAAATCTGAAAGCACTGGTCATACGTTTGTTTGGTTGGGTAAGAGCAAGAGTAATATTTTTCTTGATTTTTTTTTTTTTAACCCTTTAAGTCCTGCTGAGGTTGAGACATAATAAACTGTCCAGCATATTGTTACCTGGAATAAAGCGGGTAAGGGGGCAGTGATACAGTCTAGCCATTGCAGAGGGGTAGGAGAGTCCAAACAGACACTATTTTGAGTGGCAGTTATTTAGTGTGCCAAGTCAATCATGGTCTCTACACTGTTTCATACTGAGCTTGACTATGCCCTTCAGACCCTGCTGGTCAGGATTTGATAGACACTATGAGCTTGGGATTATTTAAATTAACACAAAATATAGAAGTATATATACACACATAGACATGCATAACTATATCTACGTGTTTTAAGGATTTTTTTGTGTGTGAGTGCAATTTTGATAAAATGTCTGATTGGCAGGGAGAAGATGAGGCAGTTTTTTGCTTTTTATCTTTTACTTAAAACCCTCTTACATTTACTCTTTAAATGCTTATTATCTATTGGAAGGAAACTTTAGTATGTCTGATTTTTCATTTCTCCGCACAACCATAAAAGGCAACATTCTAGCCTTCCACCTTCTGTAGACAGATTTATGCAGATCTTATTTCTCCTTTGGACACATCAATTTCTAAATTTTAGAAGCATTTGGTTCAGTTTGGGACTCAAGAAGTTTCTGGAAGGGTAATTTATGGGTACTGATTTTGTTGAAATTCAGAATAAAACTAAATTTCCCTTTTGGGTGTCCTTTAGAAACCCTTAATAGCTCAGCCTCTGTTATTCTTGTTGGTATTTCCTTCAAAATACACTTTCACTGTCCCCATTTTGTTTTGTGAACCAGGCAAAAACAGGAATTAATTTAAATAGTATTCCTGTTCTGGTCAAATCCTAACTCTGGAAGGTCACTATTTAGAACTGACTTCAAAAAGTCTCTTTTGCTTTTTAAGTATTTACATTTATGAAAAAAATATCTTAAGTTTTTGCCTGTGCAGTTGTAGCTGCACCCTCCCATGAAGCCCACACTGCAGAGGCAGCTGGCTGTGTTGGAGGCACAGGATTGGTTTCCTGCCCCACTGAGTCTCTTACCTCATGGGAATTCCTGCATCTTTCTCCTGGTGCTCACCAGCAGGTTTAGGAATTCAGTAGTTGGTGGATCTGTTTTTCCCCTTTTCTCTGCTGTATACTTTGTGGTATGATTAGCCTATAAGGGTAAATGGCCTATTGGGGAGAAACTGCTGTACTCTTAAACTGCTTTTTGTCAGAGTCTTACAGACTTACAGGCATTGGTATGGGTCAGTTGTGTCCCCCAAAAGTTCACATGTTGGAAACTTGACCCCCAGTGTAACAATGTTAAGGGGGCGGGAAGTCCAATTATGGTATTTGAAAGGTGGGACCTTTGAGAGGTGATTGGATTGTGAAGATTGTGCCCTCGTGAATGAATTAATCCACTTATGATGTAAAGAGTTATCATGTCATAATTCTGATGGCTTTATAAACGTGAATGAGAAGGTTATCTCTCTTGCTCAGCCCATTCTTGCCATGTGACACTCTGGTCACTACTGGACTGTCTAGGGAGTTCCTACCCAGAAGAAGGCCATCATCAGATGCACCCCCTGGACTGTGGACTTCCCAGCCTCCAAAACTGCAAGAAATAAATTTTGTCTCTTTATAAATTACCCATTTTCAGGTATTCTGTTATAAGCAACAGAACAGACTAATACAGGTATTGTTATTTTGGCTTGCTTATTTGATGCGTTCCTTTAAAGACTGTTAGGAGATGAAACCAATTAGATAAATATTTTTTATGCCTTACACTTATTAAAATATTAATTTCTTCTGAAGTTGGCTTTCTTTACTTCTCACTGAACTCACAGGGAAAACTTAGACATCTCAGTAGTGTGAAAC